CGGCACCGTTAAGGTCAAGGGATTTGAATAATTCTGATATCAAAGTGAGATGGGTTTTGAAACTGAACCCTTCAATAATGTTTAATACTGTTTTGACGAGAACAGTCAATTCGGCGGACGGTCAATTTGATCAGATTAACTGTTTTGTTATATAAACCATCGCCCACCAACCTTTTATCAATATTTCGAATCCATTCGAAAACTGAGAAACCCCCAAAATGAAGTGTGTTGTGGTCCTCTGCGTCTTGGCCTTCCCCATGGCTCAAGGCTTCCCAGGCATTCCATCCCTTCCAAAACTTTCGCCTGTAACTCTACCGGACATCCCATCGCTTCCAAATGTTTTACCTGTAACTTTGCCGGAGCCACAAGAGCCACTTTTGGAGGCTTTGGTTCAAATTCTCAACCAAATTCTGGAGGATCTCCACCTTCCAACCGTCGATCCCGAAGCCGTTACCTTCCCCGAATTGGGAGTTGAAGGAGATCGAGTCAAGAGAGATATCTTCTCTGGAGTCACTGGCCTTCCACCATCTCCATTGGTCGTAATCATCGAGCTTCTGAACAAGATCCTCGAATCTCTGAACCTCCCCACCGTCAACCCCGAAGCCGTCACCATCCCTTCTGATGCCGGCCGTGTCAAGAGAGATGCCTTTGAGCCAGTCACCGCTGAGCCCACTTTCGACGTGTTGCTCGACATCCTGAACCAGATCTTGGAATGTCTGCACCTGCCCACCATCAACCCTGAGGAAGTGACCGTCCCTTCGGAAGAGGGCGGCCGTGCCAAGAGAGATATTCCCTTCGGAATCACCCTTCCTTCCGAAAACCCACTCGCTGAATTGATCGCCAAGCTCTTGGAGATCATTGCCAAATTGGAGAGCTTTGAATTTGGCACTGGAGCCCCTGTCCCAGTCACCTTCCCATCATTGTAAATTGAGATTTGAAACGTTCATGGTGTAACCGAGTTTCGCAATAAATATATATTGCATCAACCTTGCTTTCTTTTTCAACCTTCTTTCAAAAATGCAAGTTTGAAACAAATTGAAAGCCAAAAAAGCGGTAATTACTAAATTATAGGTATCAAGTGTAAGGTATCAGCAAAACAAGCAGATTTTTGCATGAATCACGAAGATCTTGCTGTTATATGTCGCCAGCACAAGCTACCAATGCATTACAGTGAAGCCTCAAATCATAAATCCACTTTTTTTGGCTTCTGTATATTTTATTACCTAAAAAACGTAAAGCAACTTACTCTTCGAAGTTTGTGCCAAGTCATATTAAAAATGGAGCTTTTTACTTGGTCCGGAATGAAATGTTCTACTCGTTACGTGAAGATGAAGACAGAAAAACGTTGTACGTCAAGATTTTTCGGCCATCTAATTTTCTCCCAACGCGAAAATTGACATTCCTTTTCCCCTTATCAGAGTCCAAAAATCCGTTTGAGTGACCGTTTTTATATACGAGATCAAGACAAAAGGTCAAATATCGCGTAAACTGAAGAGATTTTCTATCTCGAAGCCCGAGCTGAAACAGACGTAAAGATTTTTTTAGCTTTCCTCTAGAATTGCAAATCCATGTTTTTAAAAGAAAGCTGATAAAGAAATCAAGGTTGATGCAATATATATTTATTGCGAAACTCGGTTACACCATGAACGTTTCAAACCTCAATTTACAATGATGGGAAGGTGACTGGGACAGGGGCTCCAGTGCCAAATTCAAAGCTCTCCAATTTGGCAATGATCTCCAAGAGCTTGGCGATCAATTCAGCGAGTGGGTTTTCGAAAGGAAGGGTGATTCCGAAGGGAATATCTCTCTTGGCACGGCCGCCCTCTTCCGAAGGGACGGTCACTTCCTCAGGGTTGATGGTGGGCAGGTGCAGACATTCCAAGATCTGGTTCAGGATGTCGAGCAACACGTCGAAAGTGGGCTCAGCGGTGACTGGCTCGAAGGCATCTCTCTTGACACGGCCAGCATCAGAAGGGATGGTGACGGCTTCAGAGTTGACGGTGGGGAGGTTCAGGGATTCGAGGATCTTGTTCAGAAGCTCGATGATTACGACCAATGGAGATGGTGGAAGGCCAGTGACTCCAGAGAAGATATCTCTCTTGACTCGATCTCCTTCAACTCCCAATTCGGGGAAGGTAACGGCTTCGGGATCGACGGTTGGAAGGTGGAGATCCTCCAGAATTTGGTTGAGAATTTGAACCAAAGCCTCCAAAAGTGGCTCTTGTGGCTCCGGCAAAGTTACAGGTAAAACTTTTGGAAGGGATGGGATGTCCGGTAGAGTTACAGGTGAAAGTTTTGGAAGAGATGGGATGCTTGGAAAGCCTTGAGCCATGGGGAAGGCCAAGACGCAGAGGACCACAACACACTTCATTTTGGGGGTTTCGCAGTTTTCGAATGGATTCGAAATATTGATAAAAGGTTGGTGGGCGATGGCTTATATAACAAAACAGTTAATCTGATCAAATTGACCGTCCGCCGAATTGACTGTTCTCGTCAAAACAGTATTAAACATTATTGAAGGGTTCAGTTTCAAAACCCATCTCACTTTGATATCAGAATTATTCAAATCCCTTGACCTTAACGGTGCCGTGGTCTTCTTTGTTTCATCTTTTTGTAAAAGCTGATGAAGCGGGGGTTTCCACGACGGAAGTTGACGTCACCTAAGCTCCTTCCTTGATGTACCCTTATTTAAAATATGTATATAAGCCATCACCGGCCAACCTTTTTATCATAAGTACTTTCGACTCCATTCGAAAGCAGCGAAACCCGAAAATGAAGTGTGTTGCGGTCCTCTGCTTCTTGGCCTTCTCCATGGTTCAAGGCTTCCCAGGCATTCCATCCCTTCCAAAACTTTCGCCTGTAACTCTACCGGACATCCCATCCCTTCCAAATGTTTTACCTGTAACTTTGCCGGAGCCACAAGAGCCACTTTTGGAGGCTTTGGTTCAAATTCTCAACCAAATTCTGGAGGATCTCCACCTTCCAACCGTCGATCCCGAAGCCGTTACCTTCCCCGAATTGGGAGTTGAAGGAGATCGAGTCAAGAGAGATATCTTCTCTGGAGTCACTGGCCTTCCACCATCTCCATTGGTCGTAATCATCGAGCTTCTGAACAAGATCCTCGAATCCCTGAACCTCCCCACCGTCAACTCTGAAGCCGTCACCATCCCTTCTGATGCTGGCCGTGTCAAGAGAGATGCCTTCGAGCCAGTCACCGCTGAGCCCACTTTCGACGTGTTGCTCGACATCCTGAACCAGATCTTGGAATGTCTGCACCTGCCCACCATCAACCCTGAGGAAGTGACCGTCCCTTCGGAAGAGGGCGGCCGTGCCAAGAGAGATATTCCCTTCGGAATCACCCTTCCTTCCGAAAACCCACTCGCTGAATTGATCGCCAAGCTCTTGGAGATCATTGCCAAATTGGAGAGCTTTGAATTTGGCACTGGAGCCCCTGTCCCAGTCACCTTCCCATCATTGTAAATTGAGATTTGAAACGTTCATGGTGTAACCGAGTTTCGAAATAAATATATATTGCATCAACCTTGCTTTCTTTGTTAATTTGCTTTGAAAGTGCGGATTCGTATTTCAGTTGAAACACTTACCGAAAGCGACAAAACTGTGCGTCATGAAAAGTAGATCAAACACCAAAAAAACCATCAAACCACTTCACTGGTGACCGAAAATTATTACATCTGCACTTTCGGTGTGTCGTTTTGTAAAAATGGCCCTGCTCTACTTTCAATTTGAGCCAAGTTTTACAACGTTTTTTAATTGTTTTCCCTGATATAAAAAGCATCGTCTGACTTGAGACATTTTATTTTCTTATTGTATTTATTGCTGTAATCGCATAAAATACTCTCCTTTACACTGAAAAACTAAACCAATCACTCCACTGGAAACATCGAACAGCCTGTGTTGATCTCTTGGTGGTATCTCGGAGAAGGGCCACTTCCGATTTCTTGTTTGCAAAAAAAGTTGGACTGTAATAAATTTCCCGAAGCCCGAGTTTCATATGAGAAGACGGTTTTTGAGACCTGAACGGTTACCCGTTCGGGTCTGTATCTTCGGTAATTGCCGTTTCTTTTCAAACCGAAAACTCTCGTTTTGATTAAACTTCCGGCTGTTATGGTTATCGCCAATTTTGTGGAACGTTTTAGTGTTATTAGTACGGTCTGTAATTGAGCTTTTGGGGGCGTGGGACGATTAGAAATTACAAGGAATATTTTCGTTGCAACAAAAGTGTGTGGGCATTTTGTCGCGGCCTGCAATGTGCGCAAAAAATGCATTTTTCACAATGCATTTTTTTACCTTTGTACCCGTGCATCAAAATGGCTGCGATAGAAGGTCTTTTCGACTGCGTCGCCGCGGCTTTGCTAAAGAATCTGCGCAGCTCAAAGGGCTTCTTTTGATTTGTGCACAAAAAAAAATGGGAAAAAGTTCCTTATCTTGGCCACAACAAAGGTACTCCGCGAACTGTGCCCAATCTTGGGCACTAAAGTTAGGAAAAAACACTTCGACCTAACTGGCACTGAATTACTGTAATAGCTCTATAGTTTTAAGGGTACCTACGAAGGCTGTGGCGACTTATTTAGTTCCATATGGAGGCAATAAGTTTAGCTCCGGACATGTTTCATCGTATAAAGTGTAAAATCACAGGCTGCAGCCGTTTTTGAAGGGTAAGGTGGTACGTAAAAAAGAAGGTACCTCACTAACTAAATTCACTGTCCGGGCATTGAGAACGATGAACTTGAGCGTGCACGCTAAATTCGGGATAATTCCGACCAGTTTTCGCAAAGTTTTAAGTTGTGGCCAAAATAAGGAACTTACACCAAAAAATGCACTGTGGAAAACTTTTCAAACGTCGTCTTAGGCTAGACATGGATTGTATATTTCTTGAAATTTATTTGAGTTCAGCGGGTTTGCTACATTATCGTTTTCTCACCGTAATAGTTCAAAATCAGCGTTTACAAAAAAAACAACTTATTATATTTTTCAGGACAATGACGTCACTTTCTCTCCTTATGATCCTCATGCTCTTTCAATCCGTAAATTCAGTTCATTTACCCATTGATTGTGCCAATATTCCGCCTTCTTTCTACTGCAAAAACGAAGAACTTGCGAAGCATTGCGATGTGCACAACTTGTGCGAAAAGATTGAGGAGAAAGCGTTTGGAAAGAAGATCCACATGACATTGCTATACGAGACCTTGTGTCCAGATAGTCAGCGGTTCTTCCCGAAGCTCGTGGAGTTTATTGAAGAGTACGGGCAGTTCGTGGACCTGGAAATGGTTCCTCTGGGCAATGCGCAATATGCAGTAAGTATACAAAGATATGTTTGTCACCTCTGTCGGAGGAAAAGATACATACACTGCTCCACGAAATGATAGACGCACCCTGTTTTTAGTGATTATCTTCCTTGTACTAAATGATATCGAATAATGTTCAACAGATGAAATGTGGCAAATTAAACGAGAATTCATGTCCCGTAGCGATTTTGGAACAAAATTTTGCCTTGACTGAGATATGACATTTTTAGACTTTTTTGGGGTCCACAAAATGATAGACGCAATTAAGTAATTTTTTGTTTATTTAAAAGAATTTTGAGTTAACCTGCTCTTATTACACTTCCTCGTGTTCTCTGTAGTATTAGAAAGGTAATTACATTTATATCCGCCGTACTTCATCGACGCAGCGGCCTTATGAGCCATTTCCGACCTTGTACATGAGGTAAATATTCGGTTTGAAAAAAACTGTAGGTGATTCTGTTTTCTTGGGCGAAAAACTAGCTAATACTATCACATTATACGTGTAGATCTCACTGATGAAAAAAAACGGCTTGCTCAAGGATCCCGAGCATTTTCTTGGCATATCATCTTCAACAACTAGCTACCTTAATACTTTTAGACCCCCGAAATACCAAGGCGATCAAAGAGAATGACAAAATTTAATTTGCAAATTCAAACTGAGCATGCCTGAAAACGTAATGTTTTAATCATCAGCCGTTACAGAATACCTTTAGTCGGTAACGTCGTTCGACAAAAAAAAGTTCACAAAAATAGGCTTGTTTTTACACGTTTATCTTTAATCAATCATCTGTCAATCATCATGACATTTAAGCAGGCAATAAGTTGCGGTTTTAGGTTTGTTAACATGCTGAGTTTGATTTTCTGAGCAAAAAATTGACATCGATAGTAATCTTCTGTACTTTTAGAGCCTTTGAAGGTTACTGTAGAAGGTATACGGTAACTTAATGGTCGATTAAATGACTTCAAGCGAATCGGTATTGGTTTATTTTATGTCTTATATTTGCAACTTGTAATCTATGATGGTTTAAGATGGTTTTTTGGCGAAAGCAAAATCGTTAATCAAATTTTTTTTCAAACGAATTTTTACCCCATGTACAAGGTCGGAAATGGCTCATAAGGCCACTGCGTCGATGAAGTACAGCGGATATAAATGTAATTACCTTTCTAATACGACAGAGAACACGAGGAAGTGTAATAAGAGCAGGTTAACTCAAAATTCTTTTAAATAAACAAAAAATTACTTAATTGCGTCTATCATTTTGTGGACCCCAAAAAAGTCTAAAAATGTCATATCTCAGTCAAGGCAAAATTTTGTTCCAAAATCGCTACGGGACATGAATTCTCGTTTAATTTGCCACATTTCATCTGTTGAACATAATTCGATATCATTTAGTACAAGGAAGATAATCGCTAAAAACAGGGTGCGTCTATCATTTCGTGGAGCAGTGTATGTATTATCGGTCTGTCGAGAAAATAATAAGCACTATGCTGCATCAAAAATCATATCGCCGCCGAGGAAATGAATCGTGTCGCGGCAAAATCAAATTGTTTTTCACTTCAGCGACGCAATTGGCGCAACGACATTGTGCTCATTATTTTCCCGACAGACTGATATTTCCACAAAGTGCATGGACATTTTTTCTCGTTCGCACAGTGCATTTCGAACTTTTTCTCACGGTTGTCGCCAACGCACAGTGCAAACTGCAAAAACGTTGTTTGCACTGTGCAAACTCTTCAGCATAACCACGACGACGCTGTTGAAAAAAGTTTACGCCGCGGCGATATTTCCGATGCACGGTGCAAAATGGGGTTTTTTTTGCATGGTGCGAACCAACCGTGACAAAAATGCATGCGCTTTTCCATGCACTTTATGAAAATATCAGTTTGTCGGGAAAATAATGAGCACAATGTCGCTGCACTGATCGCGTCGCTTAAATGAAAAGCGATTTGATTTTGCCCCGATACAATTCATTTTCTCGGCGGCGATTTGCCATGCGACAGAGCTCATTATTTTCCCGACAATCTGAGAAATTCTTATACTCTCTTCTCCGTGTTTCAGCAAAACGGAACCCTTCTCTGTCAGCACGGTCCGGACGAATGCCTTGGCAATAAATATCACGCCTGTGCGCTGCAAGTGATCCCCAATCCATTGCCGTATCTCAATTGCACAATGCTATATTGGCTTTACAAGATCCCATTGATGGACTCGCTGCAAATCTGCGAACCATACATTACTCAACGGGAGCTTATAGAAATGAGGTGGGTTTTGTTACGCAAAATAAAAATCCATGAAATGTATATATTTCATTGGAATATATTTCAATGAAATGGAATATATTTCAGAAAATGCGTCTACGATGGCACAGCCGATCGTATTCAGCAGATCAACTTCAACCGAACAAAAAGCGGATGGCCGGAGCGTCATCAAGGCGTCCCTTGGATGTTCTTCAACGGCGTCAGCATGAGAGCGGCGCAGTTCCATATGAGAGACTTGAGTGCCGCCATCTGCGATTGGTATCAAGGAAATGAAGCGGCGCCGAAGAGATGCGACAAATTGTCGTAGGCAAATACTGGTATTATCCTGTTGGGAAAATAATGAGCACAATTTCGCATCGAAAATCGCATCGCCGGCGAGAAAATGAATTTTGTTGTGGCAAAATCAACTTGCTTTTCGGTTCAGCGACACTGTGCTCATTATTTTCCCGACAGACTGATAGCTGGGTGGGCCCAAAAGTCTTGACATTTTTCAACGATACGCTGTGGCGCGAAAAATTTGTCACACGGCCACAAATAAAACCACGCTAACGCTGACCACGCATAATGCGAAATGAATTCTTTGGAAAAACGCAGTCAAAGCTTATGTTGAATGAAACTGCAAAGTGTGCTTTTCCTTCGAACTGTGCTGATGAGCTATCTGAAGTTCGCTGAAATTTAGCTGAAAATACAAGGGCGCAGCTTGGAAAACAAGCTTATGGAGCTCGAAAAAGCTATGTTTTAAACTTGGTGTCCGAACTTCGGCCGAGCTGCGATCACGCCATGAACTGGCTATTTTATTAGCTGCTATCATTTTCAGCTAGTTTTCTGCAAATATTCAGCGAGCGTATTGGCCCCTGTGACTCGTCAAGACTTTTGGCCTGCATAGTATACTTACAATTAGTAAAAAAAAACTGTTGTAAAAATAGAGTTCACTGTAATAGTCAAAATGTAAATTAGTTCGTATGTATATTTCCTATTCTTTAATAAATATTCGTTTATTCCCGTATTAACAGTTTATCACAGAGATCGCATGCTACAACAATCATCATATACATTTGGCTGAAAACAACACCCGTCAAAACAAATTTGAAAATAAATAATTGTGAGAAAACCGCAAGATCAAGATGAATGTAATAGTCGTAGTCCGCTTTGGACAAGAGCACTATGTACAGGTATATTGAAGTTGCGGCAAACTGAAAAAAATATGTAGTAAACCTTATTGTGAGAAGGTGCTAAATGCGACACTCAAATTTTGGTCTAAAAATAGTTTTTTAGGGCGAGAATTTACAAAAAACGAGGACTTCTCTAAACAGTTCAAGTAAAAATGAGATGAAGCTTACCTCAAATAAAAAATATGGAATCAACATAAGCTTGCTGTACCTTTTCACAGCGATCAGAAGGCAGATAACACCGAAAAATGAGATCAGTGGGATGAAGGCGTAGTAGGGCTTGTTGGAAAATGCGATATCAACAAGAATGCCAATTCTGAAAATGTTGATTTAGGTATAAGGAAGTCCAAAAGTCATCACTTCAGCTCTTGACAGCTTTGAAAATTGACATCCTTGCCAAATAACTTACTGAAACACAAGGCAATTGATGTACAAGAGCACTCCAAGACCTTGAAAATACTGCAGGAATCGCTCTCGGCTACTTAGATTAGCCTAAAAACGACCATATAAGGTAAGTACTCAAAATGCGACGATCAAATTTTCTTTTAATTTTGTACACACGTTTGGGCATTATTCATATATCAATTTCTAAAAGTTTTAGCTCGCTCTTTTCAGGCTCAGTCGGGATATTCAACTATGCCGCCGAGAGAGTACGCGAAACCTAGAAAGCGGCCTGCTATTTTGAAAAATCATCAATTTCTTTCAGGCTTTTTTGGGCTGTCGCTTGCGCCCTGATCTTTATTACACAGTGCAAACGTCAAAAATCACTCTGGCGACATTCCGGAAGGCCTAACATGTCCGATAAAAACCTAGTTTAGATTTACGCCAGGCTTTATCAAAATCTGAGCGTCGCACTTGGAATACTCTCCCTGTGAGTTCGGAAATAAAAACTGTAGACGCCCTCTGCCTCTGTATATGTAGAAACTTACACTTCCAATGGACGGATTGTGATATATCCGCCGCAATTTGCACCCTTTTTCCATATAAATAATCAGCTCATTTGAGTCTAATGTCGACATTTCTCATCAACGCTGGTGTTAGAATACAAAGGTGGAAGAATTGACCTCCAGACAAATTGCTGGACATCCGCTGAAGGCTGAGTCAACCTAGCTCTATGTGTTTTTTGAATGACTCATATTTTTTGTCATCAAGAAGAAGACAAACATTGTTTTTTCTCTTGTTATCTGATAAGAAAACAAATGCTCGCTGCCCTTTTTGAATAGCTAATTTATTTCCGATAATAATTAAAACAATTAGAAATACTGTTAACACTTTCTACAGTCGTGATTATTTTGTCGAATAAGAGTGTTTGCGAGACGAGACTTGATATAATACAAGGATAAGTCGGAAAAAAAACTGGCCGCACGAAAAGACTGTATACAATATTGTGGCTTCGGAAAAATGATCGCCGCAAAACACCAAGATTGTCAGGCCTTTTTACTACTACTTATCAGTCTGTCGGGAAAATAATGAGCACTCGGTCGCATCGAAAGTCGCGTTGCCGCCAAGAAAATGAATTGTGTCGCTGAAAAATAGAACTGCTTTTCACTTCAGCGGCGAGATCGGCGCAGCAACACTGCGGTCACTATTTTCCCGACAGACTGATACTATGATTTTTCAAAATTGCGTACACTTTTTGTCGCGGCGCACTGTGCATTTTGCCTTTCGAAATGGGGGGTTTTTTGCACGATGCGTACCTGCCACAAGTCTATTAGTCTGTCGGGAAAATAATGAGCCCTCTGTTGCATCAAAAATCGCATCGCCGCCGCGAAAATGAACATGTGTCGCGGCAAAATCAAATTTCTTTTCACCTCAGCGACGTGTTTGGCGATGCGACAGAGTGCTCATTATTTTCCCGACAGACTGATAAAAGGGTTTCAGGAGGTTCTTCTTGCTCGAAAATCGTCTTTTGGAACAAATTTCGGTGAAAAAAGTTTGTTATACTCAGGTTTGTTTGTTGTAGAGAGGTATGTTCCTCCATGTCAAATGGCAAGGTAAATGCGGCTATCATATTTCCGAAACAAAGAGTTACAATGACGGACCTGATCCAGTGGCAAGAAAAAGTACCAGTTTGCATTCGGGAAGTATCAAAAAATGTGGGAAAATGCCTCCTTCTCCGACTAAAAAACCCTGTTTTGAACGGCATTTCTCTCACAAAAAGAGAGAGCGTGCGTTTGAAATCGGAGCTTTTTCACTTGAAGAGGGAGGTATTTTGCCACATTTTTTGATACTTCCCGGATACAATATGGTACGTTTCTTACCACTGGCTCAAGTTCGCCACTATAGAGGGAGAATTCTCGTTTCTTCAAGAAACCCTCCCTTTAGAGATTCGTCCGACCAGCAACTGCACCATAAAATGATATACAACACAAAAAATGAACTAGAGATCATTGCGCACCAAGAGACAATACTCAAACAAAAATTATGAGATCAGGAACAAGTCAAAATGGTAAGTAAGAAGTAGAGGGCAAAGAACATGATGTTTAGTCCGTTTCGGACTAGAGATCGGTCTCTTTGGGCTCCTCTCTCTGGCCCAACTTCCACTTGGCGAACTTGCTGCACATCTTCTGGAACGTGGAGACCCGCACCGACTGCGTTTGTCGCCGTTTCCCTCCCAACAAGTCCTCGTATTCCCCGCTTTTGCTGTGGTTCACGTCAACGCTGACACTCCGGCGACGGCTCGCCGTGTCCTCTTCTTCGTTGATATCCGAGTTTTCGTCGGAAATCGCAAGGCACATACGTTCTTCTGGGTCGGTGGAGGCCTCCTGAAATGAAGAAAAAGTTAAAACAATGTTTTTTTTTTAATTTGATGATATTTTTCATTGATTTGCCGCGACAAAATTCATTTTCTCGGCGGCAATGCGATTTTCGATGCGACAGATTGCTCATTATTTTTTCGACAGAATGATAGCGAACACTATGTATAATGAATATGAAGGGCGCAAGAAATAAATTTATTTGTTATAGAGAGTTTCCGTGGTACGTCGCACGTCAAACTGAGACAAGCTAAAACAGTCCGGTGAATGGATTGGCAATTTGCCAAAAAAAGACGCGAAAAAACGTTTTGTCAGGGGAGAAATGGGGAATTTTTGGGGCGAGAGAGTACGTTTTTGCGTGTCTTTTTTTCTCTCTTTCTCGGCGAAATAGACGAAGTGTAGAAAACCGATAGCGAAGAGTCTATTCGGGTCACCGGACTCCTCAGTTTGACGTGCGTCGGTCTGCGTCGGCCTAAAAATACGACGCCCAACAAGTCTAAAATTTTCTGTTCCTGACACTTTTTCTTGTGCAGAGATTATAATTATATGCATCTATTGTACGCTTTTATTTACAGGGGAATCTACAGGAATTGATATATGACCGATGCCTATGCCTGAAGTGCATGCAAAATTGGAAAAAAAATTAATGCGTCGCCCTTGGGGAGACTTCTCCTCTAATTGTAAGCTATAGCACCCGATTACAGAATCTATAAATTGAGACTTTCAAAAAGTCGCCGGACTGATTTTTTGCGTTTGAATTGCGAAAAAAAGCCATGGTGCAAGCGACAGCCCAAAAGAGCCTCTTAGCATTTTCACAAAGTATCACATTGTCGCGGGCCGCACCGTGCACAAAAAATTTGCGAGTGTGTCCCCCACTACATCTTCCTGCAGAAGACTTATCAGCGGATCTCTGTAAGTCCTCCTCCCAGCGTCCGTCGTCATCGCCCTTTTGTGCTCTGCACGCTCCACGGTACAGTTGGGACAGAATTGGGTTGCTCCAGCCGCCTTTATACCCAGGATTAGAGGTACCACCTTCAAATCACTGCAAAGCAAGACCCGTGCACTCACCTTTTTCTGGTTTTGCACTGTGCATTTGAAATATCGCTGCGACGTAAGCGTTTCTCAACTGCGCCGCTGCGGTTTTGCTCAAAAATGTGCACGGTGCAACCGGCTTTTTTGAGGTTTGCACCGTGCGCAAAGCCAAAATTCCACAGTGCGTTGGCGACACAAATTTAAGATGCACTGTGCGAAAACGAAAAAATGTCCACGCACTTTGTGAAAATGCTAATAGCAGCTCCCGAATCTGTAGCCTCTGAGGCCACTAGGGCCATTTTTTCAAAACAAATCAGCTCTCACCTGAACCATTCTCTTCTTGGCCAAGCTTTTCCTCAGCGACTTCTCCTTGTTTTGTCCATTTTGTCCGCAATTCGAACAAGGCTCAATAATCAGACTCTGCGACATAGTTGGCGTCGAAATTTTACGTGATCTCACTTTGACGTGATGCGAAGATGGCGGATGAACCGAGGTGTTCTTGCGTTTGACGTCGGAGACTCTGAAATTGCCAAAATTTCATGGAGTTTTACACAGTAAAATAAAATTTGATATCAAAAATATTTAAAAAAAAATTATGTTGTAACGTGTGAAATGGAATAAAAATTGAAGCCGAGTCTGCCTGAGTGCCCCTCCGGCACTCGATCCACTCAACAATTCGACATTTAAACCCACTAAAAATTCCAATTTCGAGCCCCACAAAGGGATGAGAGGCGCGTTTGGGCGGAAAATTTGCGATTCAAAAAACAATTGGCCAGTTTTTTTTTGAGCAAATTGGTTTGACATTAGAAAGTGTGAGGATAGTCAAAACAAATGCTAATTTTACAAAAAAAAAAAAAAAAAAAAAATTGAAAAATAAAAAAATAAAAAAAAAATATCTTTTTTATGTTTTATATTTTTTTTATAAAAAAAGTTTCGTTAAAAATTTTGGCAAAAATCTTATTATTTTTTCGATTTCTTATTTTATTTTTTTTATTTTTAAAAAATGAAATGGCAAAGTTTTATAAATTATTTTTTCAATTTATAATAAAAAGAATCACTGTACTAAACGTATTTTACAAATCTTATATTAAAACTTCTTTTTATTTTTTTAAATATTTTTACGGTTTTTAAAATATTTTTTTCGAGACAAAAATTGTAAAAAAAAATATCTTTAAGGTGCTTCAAGAAACTCGCCAGACTGATTTTTTTTTAATAGAAAGTGTCCCAGTAGACGTATTTTAAACATGAGAATTAAAAAATTGTTGTCTTTTTTCTTTTCTTTTTTTTTTTTTTTTTTTTTTTTTTTTTTTTTTTGAAGTGAGATTATCTGTCTTTTTAATTATTTTTTTTCTTATTTTTTTTTTGCTTTCATAATGGCAAAATTATGCTTTCCGTATTTTACAAAAAAATATCTAAATTTTCAAAAACTATAATTTTGAAGTTAACCTTTGTTTTATCAGTGCCAGTAGGCGTATTTTAAAAATAGAAAATGAAAATTTTTTTGTTTTTCTTTTATTTTTTGAATCGTTTTTTTTTTTGAATTATCCATTTTTTATTTTTTACATTTTGAATTTCATATTTTTAAAAGAAAAAATAAACCTTATTTTTACAAAAAAAATATCTAAATTTTCAAAAACTATAATTTTTTTTATATTTCAAAAAAAAACTCACGAAGTTTTGGATCGTTTCACGCCGGTCCGATGAGATCTCTCTGAATTGAAAGAGTCCTTATGGCTGAGTCCGCTGGCAGTTCCGGTGGAGCTGGGAGTCGCGGGGAGATCGTGGAGAGAAGTTGGAGTTGCACTGTGCTGAGAGGTTGAACTGGAAAAAAATTTATTAAAATTATTATATAATATATTTTTTTGGTTAAAAAGCTGAGATTTTGCGGGTAAATTCATAGAAGAAGTGATCAAAAATATGACGCTCGCATTATGATAAAAATTTTCAGAAATTTAAATAAATTTTTTCTTAGAAATATGTGAGATTTCTAGCTCGCGTTTTGCAGAAACAACCAAGATTTTTCGCCCGAAACTTGGCCAAAATTCGACAATTTTTTTTGCCAATTTTGGCATGAAAATTCACATGCTTGTTTCTACTATAGAGTGTAATGTTTCCACAAAAAATCAATTTTTTCCATGCGAAACTGGCAGAGATATGGCCAAAAAAGTGTTTCCTCTTTGACCGCTCTCCGCATTTCGCGTGCTCTCTCGTCCGCAAAGCTCGTTGAATATCTCGGCTGCCCGTTCAAATTGCGAGCTAAAATTTTTAGGATTTCTTATGTGAACTATACCCAACTTGTGTGCAAAATTTGGAGAAAATCGGAAAGTTATATTTAGCACTTTTTCAAGTAAAATCTCGAAGGAAAAGCGAAATTCTTATGGAGAAAGACGCGAAAAAACGAACTTTTTAGCGCATCCTTCCTCTTTCTCGCTCTGATTAGCATGCTAATCTAATTCGAGCACCCTTCGCCTTTTATATCCATAATAAAGTCAAAAATAGGCGACATCAACAAAGCAAAACTCGAAAAATTAGATTTTTTTTTGAAAAATTTTTTGACCATTCAAAAAATTTTTTTTGAATTTACTTAAATTTTCTGCCAGTTACTGTATTTGGTATACATATTAATTGTTGAAAATTTTAGCTCAGAATTTGCGCGGAGAGCCGAGATATTCAACGGTCTTTTTGACGAGAGAGCATGCAAAATGAGGAGAGTCGGTCAGAGAGAATTTTTGTTTTGGCTATATCTCTGTCAATTTGCGTCGGAAAAAATTGATTTTTTGGAGGAATATTACACTAGTTACTTCTAATAAATTCAGAATTTTTTGGCCCAAAAATCGAGAAAAATTTTTTTTAATTTTTCAATTTTTGATAAAAAAAATTTCGAAAAATTTTGAAGCAAAGGCAAGCTAAATTTTTTTCATATGCCTTGATATACATTCCTTTTAATTTTTGCCAAATTTTATCCAAATTTGAATGCAATTTTTCAAAAAAAAACCCAAAAAAATCCAATTCTCACCTTGCCTAAAATCGTAAAAAAATCTCCCCTTTCTCCCTTAAAATCGCGGAAATTGTGACCTCGAATTATCGTATGACAGATGTCGATCAAAACTCGTGCGGAAATTCATACATAAAACATCGAAAGAAGGGGTGAGGAAATGGACGGAAAACAGAAATTTCAGGGAAGAGCGATAAGCTCTTCCTGCAAGTAAAAGGCAATTGGGAACGTTTCAAAACTTTTTATTGGGCACACACAACGAGCTAATTATTATATTTGGGGGATATTCTTGAAGGAAAAATTAGAATTTTTTTTATTTTTTTTTTGATAAAAAACGGGATTTTTTAAAAAATAAGTAAAAAAAACAAAATTTTAGAAAAAAAAATTTTAAATTCTAAATTTAGATTTGACTTTTTCAGAACATTTCTTAGACATATATAAGTCTCTCAGTGAAAAAAACCGAGATTTTTAATCCAAAATTTTTAAAAACTCCAAAAATTTTTTTGCAAATTTCACCACGAAATTTTTCAGTCTTGTTTCTATTGCAATTGGCAGTATTTCCACAAAAAATCAATTTTTTCCTCACAAAACTGGCAAAGATATGCCCAAAAGGCGGTTTTTTCTCTGTCCGCTCTCCCCTTTTCGCACATTCTCTCGCCGACCGCTGAATATCTCAGCTGCGACTGCAAAAAACGAGCGAAAACTTTCAAAAACTTATTACATAGGCTAGACAGATCATGGTTGCATAATTTGATATGAAATCGCAGCGTTGACTTTCTCAGCACAACGCTTATGAACAAAAAAGAAAAAAAGCCGGCTAGCTGCTGCAAGTGCTGGATAAAACAACCAAATACCCGTTTGTTTTGCTGCTTTTGGTGAACCCGTCTAGACAGGATATTTTATTAGCTCAATTTGCTTTTAAAAGCGTCTTTTTTTGACATATACCGGAGATTTAGTCGACATTTGACCTTCTACAGTTTTAGGTTGGTCAAAAAGTTCTGTCGGGAAAGTAATGTGGCTTCGGTGCGCCTTGGAATAGCCCAAAATGCAACAGGGCTCATTATTTTCCCGACAGACCAATAATTATGATAGTATCAGTCTGTCGGGAAAATAATGTGGACTCCTGGGCAATCATCGGTTACTTTCCGACGGCCCGAGATTTGATATGCGACTGCGACGAGGAAACACTTTTTTCTGCGACAAATCCACATTATTTTCCCGACAGACTGATAACCCCAATTACAGGAAAACATTGAGTAATTGACGCGGCGGCAAAGCGAAATGGTCCTCATTATTTTCCCGACAGACTGCTGCAAGGGTGGTAAAACGTTGCAGCCCAAGAGGCCCGCAAAAAAGTCGAAAAGGCCCCTTTTTTTCATTTTCACAAAGTAAGTCCGAGGGTCCGAGTTTTGTCACCAAAACTTGGCACAAATTTAGAATAATTTTTTCTAAGATATATGCCAGAATCCTAGCTCGCGCTTTGCAGAAATAACCGAGATTTTTAGATCGAAAGTCGGCGAAAATTTAGGAATTTTTTACCGAATTTTGGCACGAAAAGTTTCATGCCTATTTCAACCGTAAAGGACAATGTTTCTACAAAAAATCAAATTTTTCCGCACGAAACTGCCAATGTCATGGCCAAAAACCGTTTTTCTCTCTGACCGCTCTCCACGCTTAGCGTGCTATCTCGGCGGCAAAAATCGTTCGATATCTCGGCGGCGCCCGCAAAGCGCGAGCTAAAACTTTCAGGAATTGATATTTAGTCCATACCCGACGTGTGTGCAAAATTTAAAGAAAATCTGAGCGTCGCACTTGGAGTACTTCCCTGTTAGCGGCAAAGCGAATTTGCCCTCATTATTTTCCCGACAGACTGTTGCCATTTCAGCCCAAGAGGTCCCCCAAAAAAGCCGAAGAAGCCACCCTTTCTTCATTTTCACAAAGAAAGTCCAAAAAGGCCCACTAAAAATTACAGTACTATAACAATTCAAAAAACAATAACCAAGCCTATGCTCCGCAAAAACTAGCTCCGTCCGTTGGACCGGTCGGCCTTGCGACGCCAAAAAACACGCAGAAATGAGGAGGAAGATCAGGGCCGATAAACCAATTCGGTCGGCGCCTCAAGGCCATTCGCAATGGTGGCGAGGAGAAAGGATAAAGCGCGGAGAGAGAATTGAGAATCTTATTTTCGTTAATTTGGTTTCAAGAAAAAAGGGTGTTAGGTTCGGAACCCCCTCAGCGGATAAGTGGATGGGCCGCAAATGCCCTGGAGACATTTATTTCGCCTATTGCCGGTTTTCAACCCGCTTTAGAGGGAGTGGAGGAGGTTGAAAATTTCGGAAATTTAGAGAGCAAAAACAAACAAATTTAGAGCGGTATTTTGATAGATAACTAAATTTAAAAATCAAAAAATTGAAATAGATGCCCTAAGGCGATTTTTATGAAATTTTGTAGGCATGTTGTAGATGGGGTAGGTATTCATTTTTGAAAATTTTAGGCTTTGATTTGAAAGCGCCGCCGAGATATCGAACGATTTTTGCCGCCGAGAGAGCACGCTAAACGTGGAGAGCGGTCAGAGAGAAAAGAGGCTTTTTGGCCATAACTTTGGCAGTTTCAGGCGGAAAAATTTGATTTTTTGTAGAAACATTATCCTTTACGGTTGACACAGGCTTGAAACTTTTCGTGCCGAAATTCGGCAAAAAGTCCTAATTTTGGCCGACTTTCGATCTAAAAATCTCGGTTGTTTCTGCAAAGCGCGAGCTAGGATTCTCGCATATATCTTAGAAAAAATTATCCTAAATCTGTGCCAAGTTTCATCAAAATCTGAGCGTCGCACTTGGAGTACTTCCCCTGTAGATTAAAAAATCAAAAAATTAAAGTAGATACCCTAAGGCAATTTTTATGAAATTTTGTGGGCGTGTTTTATGCAGGGTAGATATTGATTTTTGACAGTTTTAGACTTTGATTTGAGGATTGTTAAGAGATATTCAACGATTTTTGGAGCCGAGAGAGTATGGAAAATGAAGAGAGACGGTCAGAGAAAAAAATATTTTTGATGATTTTTTCGGGATTTTTCGGTGAAAAAAAAATTGATTTTTTTAGTATTTTTGATCTCGCAGACTGAAGAAATAAATAAATTTTCATAAAAAAAATAAAAAAAAAACAAAATTTTTTTAATTTTTCACCAAAAAATCTTGATTATTCCTGCAAAACCCAGGGTAAAAATTAGGAAAAATTATCAAGAAGCTTTGAAGTTCATTTTCCCCAAATTTCGTAAAAATCGGACTCCAAAAATTTCGTTTAAAATCGTAAAAAATCAAAAAAAAAATCAAAAAAAATTCCAAAAATTCCAAAAAAATCCCCCTACCGTTTTCTCTGTGATTTTGTCATCCCATCGATGGACTGGCTCGCCGAATCGTTGGAGCGTTGTCGAGAATGGACTGACGAGCAGAAACTGGCCTCCATTTCATTGTTGTTCACTGAGCGCTTCTTTCTCGGCGCATTCATTCGTTTATTTACGGCGGACGCGTAAATTAATGCCATGTTTCGAGGTTTTGGAAAGTTTTGTTTTTATAAACAGTGATTCGACCAGTCGAAGGAGACTAAAAAGGAATAAATTTTGAGGAAAGTGTAAATATTGCGGGAAAATCGCGGAAAAATTTTAAAAATAAAAAAATAACAAAAAAGCAGAATTAAAAAATTAAAAAAATAACTAATAAAAATATTTAAAAGAATTAAAAAAATATTTTAAAAAATTAAAAAAATATTTAAAAAAATCAAAAAAAAATATTTAAAAAAATTAAAAAATATTTAAAAAAAAATTAAAAAATATTTAAAAAAATTTAAAAAATATTTTAAAAATAAAAAAAAGTATAAAAAAATTTTAAAAAAATTTTAGAAATTTTAAAATAAAAAAGAATCAAAAAACTTTCTTTTGAAAAACCCCATAAAAATTGTGATAACATAAAACTTCAAAAAATAAGGCTTTTTAACCTGAATGAAGCAAAAAAAATCTAAAAAATAAAAGAAAAAATTAAAAAAAATATTTCAAAAATTTAAAAATAAAACAATCAAAAAATTTTCTTACCTAAAAACCCAATATGACTCTGTCGGGAATATAATGAGCGCAATGTCATTGAAGTCAAATACAATTTGATTTTACCGCGACAAAATTCATTTACTTTTTTTTTTTGTTTTTTTTGACGATGCGATTTTGGATTTGCTAGAGTGCTCATTATTTTCCCGACAAACTGAGAAAAAGCAATGATAACAGCAAATTTTAAAAATCAAAAAAAAAATCAAAAAATTTGCCAATGAAAAGTACATAGTAAAAACGCAAAAAATTTGAAAAATCTTTGCTCTCTCCTCCCGACTTCCCCCTTCAAGAAATGGCTGTCATAAACGTCCCGTCAACCCGAAAGATGTTTCTTCTCCCCCATAAGTTGCTATAACTTTGCCAGAGATTTTTTACCCGACCGTTCCGCCATGAGTTCGGGTTTATGTAATCTCGGGAGAGCCATCAACAGCCTCCCTCATTCGGCCGCTCTTCGCGCGCTCGTAAACAATAAAACTGCTGGAAAAAATATGTGCCGAGTGCATTCGTCGCATCATCATCGACGTGAAATTGGGGAGATTGTAGAGTAATAGTAAGAGGGAGGGAGGGGATAAAAGTTTGGGGAAAATTAAGCTTTCAATCCTCGGATTTTCGTCAAATTTTGCGAAAAACTGCACGATAAATGATACAGAAAAATACTAAAGATTTGGAATAAAACATAGGGGTCACTGTTTTTCTGAATTTTGAAAAAGTTCCACAGAATGGTAAAAAATGAGTCCATGCGAGCTGCGCCCAGTAAAAAACAGAGTTTGAAACTAAGCGCCAATCTAACAGGGGAAGTACTCCAAGTGCGACGCTCAGATTTTCTTTAAATTTTGCACACACGTCGGTTATGGACTAAATATCAATTCCTGAAAGTTTCAGCTCGCGCTTTGCGGGCGCCGCCGAGATATCGAACGATCTTTGCCGTTGAGAGAGCACGTTAAACGTGGAGAGTGGTCAGAGAGAAAAACGTTTTTTGGCCATAACTTTGGCAGTTTCGAGCGGAAATTTTTGATTTTTTGTAGAAACATTATCCTTTACGGTAGAAATAGGCATGAAACTTTTCGTGCTGAAATTCGGCAAAAAGTCCTAAATTTTGGCCAACTTTCGATCTAAAAATCTCGGTTGTTTCTGCAAAGCGCGAGCTAGGACTCTCGCATATATCTTAGAAAAAATTATTCTAAATTTGTGCCAAGTTTCATCAAAATCTGAGCGTCGCACTTGGAGTACTTCCCTTGCAAGTACAATTTAAGCCTAAACTAAGCTAACCCCGTCTAAGCCTAAGAGTTAGTGTGAGGAAAGCCAAGCAAAATCTACGCCGATATTGATCCCAGCCAACTTTTCATTGTATAAAATGTCCCCTGCAGGTCGCGCCCCTTCCATTTTCCCAAGACAGTTTTTTTGAGTGGTTCTAATCTACGGAAATTTTTACCTTGAATTTTGCATTCGTTTTTAGAAAATCGAAGTTAATCTTCGTGCAAAATTTTTGCTAAAGTGCTCCAAATGCGACAGATTTTCTTCAAATTTTGGTATACACACACTGCGGGCATAGACCACATATCCACTCCTCAAAATCTTGGCTCTTGCTTTGCAAGGACTGCCGGGATATTCCACAATCTTTGCGGCCGAAACAGCACGCAAAACACGGAGAGCGGTCGGAGAGAAAAACAAGATTTGGCTATGAAAACTTTGATGCAGAATTACACAAAAAGTGCAACATTTTTGCTAACTTTCGACCGTAAAATCTCGGCCGTTCCTGCAACGTAAGACCTAGAGTTCCCAAGTCTTTCTTGAAACACAATTTGCGCTCAGTTTGATCAAAATCTGAGTGTCACACTTGGAGGACTTCCCCTGTTATTTATTAACAGTTTGATCCAGTTGGAATGTTGATAAAAAAGTTGGAAAAAGAGTTATTCATGATATCGGCGAGATAAAAGTCCGATCGAAATATTGGTCTTTCATCAGTCTGTCGGGAAAATAATGAGCACTCTGTCGCATCAAAAATCGCAAAAAAATGAATTGTGTCACGGCAAAATCATATTGCTTTTCACTTCAGCGACACAATCGGCCAACGACATTGTGCTCATTATTTTTCAGACAGACTGATATTAAGCTTTGAAAATGATTGTCAACCTGTCGGAAAAATAGTGTGAATTTTTCGCGCCTTAGGATCGCCCATCATCGCTATGCGACAGCTAATCGCGGCTGGGGAATGCAACGTTTTGCAGCGACAAACTCACACTATATTTTCCTGCCAGACTGATAACAGACAACAAGTCTTAGGCCCCACTTTTAAATGCTCAAAAAGTCAATGCTATTGCTACAGTAAGCTCCCTCTCCTTTCAGACAGAACTACGTCAGAATCGGAGCTCAAAACTTTCAAAATACCCCATTAACCCGGCCTCCTTTAACCACCCGTTTGAAACTCGTCCGTGCATTTGCAAAACAGACGCATTCCATTCCCTGCTGACGCCTCAAAAACATCCTTAGCCTATAAACCAGCGACAAACAACGTAATCAAGATCCCCGCACATTCTTTGATCGGCCAAATGTAAGCAATTTTGTTGGCAGAAATAGCCCGTTCAATTCGATTTTTTTCGATATTTATTGGCCGGAAAACTGTGACCGAGATGGTCGAAGATGGATGGCTCGGAGCCAGGGACCAAAATAGCGCGTTTACGTAGGTTAATTCATTAAGTTTTATGGGAGAAACAAGAGAAACATTTTTAGAAACAGAGAGGTAATCAAGGTCATCAGGAAAATAATGTGGATTTGCAAAATGTCTCGCTTTTTGCTTTCGCAGACCGAATTTTCGGCCATGGTTAGCCGTCGTAAATGATAGACAAGGCGTGACAAATCCACATTATTTTCCCGACAGACTGATATACTGGTGTTGTGAAAGGTTTTTTGTAAAAAGCGTAGTGCTAACATTGGGCGCTCAGAATTTGATGAAACTTGGCATAAATTAAGATTGTGATTTACTACAGCATATACAAGGTCTGTAGCTTACACTACTGCAAAAAACCGAGATTTTTTTGTCGAAAAATAAAAAAGAAATCCAGGTTTTTTTTAATTTTTGGCAACAGAAGCTTCAACTTTATAAAAATTCCACTGTTGAGGGCAATATTTCTATCAGTCTGCCGGGAAAATAATGAGCACATGTCGCATTCAAAGTTGCTAATTGTAAGCTAGAGTAAAAATCAATTTTTTCCGCGCAAAATTCGAAGAGCTTCTCTCACAATAAGTCTGATCTCTACATTTTTCAGCTTTTATCGGAAAAGATTGCTGAATATCAGCCGTCGCTCCAAAAAGAAAGCTAAAATTTTTAGGAATTGCTGCCAGAGACGGCCACGGCTCCGGAGCCGGCTCTTGGCTCCGGCTCTGAGAGGCCGCTCAGCCTCGGCTCCAGCTCTGGGAGCTAAAAGCCTTAGCCAGAGCCAAAATGTTGACCGTGGGAATCTCTGATTGCTGCCACGCCTATACATATATAAATAGATAAAATCAAGGCGTAATTTGAAGAAAATCTAGAAGAGTTCCCCTCAAGCATGGTATACTTTTCAATACATGGAAGTTCTATCAGTCGGTCGTGGAAATAATGAGCACTTTCTCGCGTCGAAAATCGCATCGCCGCCGAGAAAATGAATTGTGTCGCAGCAAAATCAAATTGCTTATCACTGCACGACACGATCCGCACAGCGACATAGTGCTCATTATTTTTCCAACAGACCGAAAAGAGCGAAAAACATTGCCCGATAACCATGTCAATCCTCAAGCAAGCCCAATCAATGTCATCACGCGAAAAAGTTCGTCCAACCAATAGTGCTTATGCCAGAAGCAAAAGGAAACGCGAAAAGAAGGCATTCTGGCAGTTTGCCCAATAAATTTCGACTCTAATCCGACGGGGTCGGGGCGCCATTCCTCAACTCCGTATTCCCCTTGATATCATGAACGTTCAGGAACACAAGGGTCAAGCTCGTTGGCCCCCGAGGCGCCGATTGAAACATGTGTTCGGGAAGGTAAATAATCGAGTGCCGAGTGATTTAGACGGAGAAATTCCTAAATGTCTGAGAAAACGGGACAGAAAAAAAGAAAATGTCGAAATTCCCGAAAAAAAGTGGATAAATGGAGGCTGAGTAATGGTTAATAAGCAAGACCTAAAAGCTTTTGTTTAAAGGACGTCAATGTTGACAGACCAACATAAAAACAATTGTTTGAGCCTTAAAAATTTGCTAGTCCGTTCGCAAAGTCGCTGGAGTGATTTTCGCGACATGCACTGTGCGAAAACAAAAGTTCAATTTGCACTGTGCAATTTGTCGGCTTTTGCACGGTGCAATGCTTTTTTGGGGTGTCGCTCGCAACGGAATCCTTCGATTGCGACCCCGCTCGATTGCGACCTCGCATCGATTGCGAC